GTGAGGGGGGCGGGTGGCCGGGGCTGCCTGTCCCCGCGAAGCTTGAACGCGGAGCTGGTGGGGCTGTCGGGTTTTGATACGGTGTCACCGCACCGGCCCGAGGGGGATGTGCGCCTGCCCTTAAAGTTTTATCATCTCTCAGTAAAGCGCGCAGGGAAGGGCGCTTTGGGGGCACTTTATTAGAAGAATCTGGCAGTTTTCAGGAAAAAAAAATCTCGCTTTGGTTGAAATTAAGTTGAAGCTCATCAGCAGAATGAGTATGTGGGAGTGCGCTTCAGTTTCAGAGAGGATGTCTGAGTGGGGAAGGCTGCCTGACGGTGTTAGAGACCGCTGGGGCACTCCTTCCCCATCCTCGGCGTTGCACACACGCACCACCCGAGGCTTTAACTGCTAGGGCCGAAGTCCCTTTGCAGCGGGCAACCCCAGTGAGCCGACGGGTACCCCTTTCCCACTTCCTTCACACACAGGTTCTCACCTTCGAGTGCTTCTCGCCTTCCAGGCTCAGTCCTAGGTTTCCCGTAGCAGAGTCTCAGATATTGAATCTTATTTTTAAAACAATTACTCAGATGGTACAGCAAAAAGAAACAGCTTGAGCTCTGTACCTCCAGTGCCAGACCCCGACCAAAGGAATACTTGGGCAATTATACCCTTATGCACCTGACCCTCACACACCTTCTCGGCCCAGTGGTGATTTTTTTTGGTCAGGGGTCTTCTAAGACCTTACTGGATTCTTTCTCTGTCTCCAGGCAGGCTGTTGACTGTTCTCATCTTGTTGATGGTTGTGGCCTCCTTGTCTCCTGGTTTTGTGCTTCTTGTGCACCTGGTTGCTCTGCCAGACTAAGCTTGGGATAAGCACTACTTAGCAAAAACAAAAACATCAGCGTGTTATCAACATTATTCTCACACTAAATCCAAAACATAGCGCTCTACTAGCTACTAAGAAGAAAATCAACTCTGTCCCAGCCAAAAACATATCAAAGTGGAAATTTACAGCTTGAGGCCTAAGGCTTTAGCAAATCTAGCTACTCATGCTAAGTTACTAGTGAACAAACAGTATGCCAAATTACTCAACATGATGCTATAACCCCTGCGTCTTAATGCTAAATGATTTGACTCTGAGCAATTCATTCTATTTTAAAACTTAATTAAACAAATAGTGTTTCTTAACATCGGGGACTGAGAGTCTTGGTCAGGTGAGGCAAGTGATGGTGGCTTAGAGCAGAGAGGGCAAGTTATGGCAGTGGAGACACAGAAGGAGGCAAGCCAGGCGGTGTCTTGTCCGTACTGCGTTTTTAAATGTCATCCTTACGCAAGCTATCCGCAAAACTCTGCCCAGGCTTTGCTGGGGAGAGAAGTCATCTGGGGCAGCTGCAGCAGAGCCGTCGAAAGAGCTAGGAGGAGAGTGGTGTGGCCCACCCACAGGGTTCAGTGCTCATGTGCAGTTATTAGCCTGTTTTCATTCATTTGTATCAGTGGACCTTGACTGTCTCGCGTGTTCTTGACCATTGCAATACTTAAAGATGAAGTCTTCCACCGGAGAAGGAAAACCTAGCAGAGGATTTTTGCTGTCTGTATTGGCAGGCATGTTTCTAATAAAAGGATTTTTTCCAGAGAACCGTTAAACAACTTACAACTCCATCAAACATTGCTACCCGATGTGACTTTCCTTCTTTCTGCAGAATTTTTTTTGTCTCCAGTGTGTAGAAACAGGGTAGAGGGCTTTGGTCTCACAGTGAACCCTTTTTGACTAAATTGTAAGTTATGCTTCTGATGTGGCTGAGCAAAGGTTGTAATCAGCGTGGTGCCATAAAACCCAAGAGACGAAATTAGAGCAGCGTATAGATTTTTAAATAAATAAACCCTAGTTGAAAGATGAACTAGCCTGTAAACAGCCTGCCTTTTCTTACTTCAAAGCGTGGCCCATCATTATAATTCTCACAGACTAATGAAGCTCTTACTTGGGGCAGAATGAACAAAAACTGTTCTCGCTGTTTAGGGCTTTTAAGGGCTGCCTCCAGACTTCTGAAAATGTTTTGAAGTTTTGTGGGTTTTTTTCTTCTTGCAGGAACAGATGTCGTCATTGTTAAAAACGGCAGAAGGATATGTGGCACAGGAGGCTGCTTAGCCAATGCACCTCTGCATCAGAACAAGAGCTATTTTGAGTTTAAAATCCAGTCCACAGGTTAGTCAGCAAAAATGTACAACTTTAAACTTGGGAGGTATGCCAGACTGCCTGCTGGTGGTCGTACATACCTCAGTTACTGAGCACGTGCATCTCTCTGATGGCATCCTTGAACTTGTGAACGTTGAGGACTTAAAAAAGTCGTCACTGTGTAAAAGGAGATGTTCTATCTTTTTAATTGTGTGAAATGTTAAAAAGAATGGTAAGTATATTACTAAAGGAGTGCAAATGCTAAACCACCGCATTGTTTCGTAGGCCGTTATGTGGATGTTTTTTTCAGTTCGCATATTTTAGAAATGTGTTTTGGTAAACAAATGCTTATGACCACATAGAACACTGTGGCTGTAAAGTTGTGGACTTTTTCGAATAGTGCAGTTCATCCAGCAATATTTGTAGCTATTTGTCTACCTTCCTTCGCTTGTAACATGCACTGCCTTTGCCCCAGCAAGGGTGACACTCCTTGTGCTACATCTTGCTCTTCAAATCAAATGTGCAGCACTTACTTGGGAGGATCAAGAGGAGACTTTCAGCACCCTGTTTCTTTACTTGTTTTGCACGGATCTAAGACAAGGCAGCTGAAAGTGAGTGAAATCTGCAAGTGTTAGCTCTTACTAATACAGCCAGCTTCGCTGGTACAGAGTACGCTCCAGGCTTGCCTGTATTCTAACATGAAAAATCAGCTTGTGTTTTTTAAAAAGACAGACACTATGAAAATGAAGCTGTTCTTTAGGGAAGAAGGGAAATATTAGTCCAGACACAGGCCTTATGACACCAGCTGGAGCTTGAACACAGCGCTTTTTGGGTAAGGGTTATTCGCATTCAGTTTCACTGGAGTGCAGGCAGCATGAACACAGCTTTCTCCAAAACACCTTGCAGTCAGACCAGTTGTTTGGTTTTTAGCTAGGTGAAAACGCCAGCTCACTCTTGACTTGGCAACTTTAATATCCTTTCTGTTGGGGGAAGAATTCACTGCAGCTCTTGTCCATATATGATCGTTAGTCACACAGGTAGTGTCCGTGTTCTTATACTTAATTTGCGAAACACAGGAAATAAACTCCTGGTCCCTAAGAGCTGTGTCTCGTGTATTCCTGTGCTCCAGGGAGAACTGTAGATCACTTAGCTTAAAACTTTGATTCCTAGAAGTGTCCCTGCGCAGGCTGTTAGGGGTCGTCTGTGGGGTCACCCTGACTATTGGAAAGTTTTCTGAAGTCTAATCAACTTGAGTGAAACTTATTCACACACTCATCCTTTTAATTCTGGGCATGTAAGTATTAGAATAAATGGTTGTGCAAGTTTGTCTTTTAAAACTGTGGGTTTTTTTTTTAAATTTTTGCCTCATTTTAAAAACTGTGGGGTTTTTTTAAATTTTTGCCTCATTTTAGTTTTCAGTAGTTTAAACAGTCCCAGTTTTTTTTCATTGTCTCCTTATAGATGATACTTTTACACTTCTGTTTGGTTTTGTTGTTTCTTCTAGAATACCTCTAATTGACCTAATCTGTCTTGAGGTGTGATGCTTTAAATGGATGCTGTGTTCCAGCTGCAGCAGCAGTAGGCATCCTTCATCTGCTTTACCTACAATATGTCTGCTCTATGCAGGCCATACACCTAGAAGTTTTTCACAACAGTAAGACACAGACTCACGTTCAGCATGTGGTCTGTGATAACCCCCAAATTATATTCTGTGAACTGGTTGCCAAGCCACTAATAGTATTTGTGCCGCTTACTATTCCTACTTACCTGCTCTTCATAATTCAGAAAAAGCAAATGCATTCTCCTTATGTCAGACCTCTTAACCAGTTTGTCAGGATAATTTAAAACTTGAGGGGCCTCTGAAGAGCTTGCAGTCCTGTCAGGTTGGTATTGGCAGCACGTTTAATAAGCACATTGTCATGTAATCCACGTTATCGATGTGAATATGGAACAGCATCTGACCTTGGGCATTCGATATGAAACCTCAAACCCCACTTGAGTCATCTTTTTGTTTTTGATTTGACAGGGTGCTGCTGATGAGTAGTCCTGGAATACAGTTTTCTAGCCAGCTGTGCATTCATACTGCTCTAACTGTCTAGACCGTGTTTTCATAGTTTGGCTATTTCAGTATTTTCCGAGGTTCAAAAACATTACCTAAGCAAGATCTGTCATACTGACAATTTCTTCTCTTTTCCCCCAGACTAGTCTAACCAGGTGAAAAAGAAAATGGTGGTGTTCACAAATCCATGTCTGTTGGATTTATTTTTTACATCCTCCTACAGTCTCAGAGTTTGTTTTCAATATTTTTCTGGGAGTAAAAGTTAAGCTGAGCAGTTAGAATTCTCTGGATCATTCTTTTTCAGGATAGATGCTCTTTATCTTCAGTCTCTTGCGACTACTTGTACTAGGTCTGGCCAGGAGGGTGTTAATCTTCTTCGTAGCAGCTTCTTTCCAAGCCAAACAATTCTGTGGTGCCGTGTTCAAGATTTGTGACCACACAATACTGATAACACAGTAATGTGTTAGCTGTTGATAAAATAGCAAAGCCTTCTCTGTTTCTCATTCCCACAGTGAATGAGATTAGGGGTGTGCAAGAGGTTGGGAGGGGACACAACCAGGCGGATGACTTGAACTAATCAAGGAGATACTCCATGCCACATAACGTTATGCTCAGCAGTAAAAGGGAGAGGAAGGGATTCGGGGAGGTTAGCCTTCTTTTGCTTGGGAATTGGCTGGGTATCAGTCTACCCGTGGGAGGTAGTGAGTCATTGCCTTTCCATCATTTGGTTTTGTTTTGGCTTCTTTCTTTCTTCCACTTCTCTTTTCCTTATTAAACAATTTTTATAATTATCCGCCAGACTTCTTGGTTTTGCTCTTACTTTCCTCTGCCTCCATCCCACTGGGAGCTGTGGTGGGAAGTGAGTGAGTGGCTGGGTGGTGCTCAGCTGCCTACCAGGGCTAACCCAGAATAGTCCTAGTATTTCCAAGAGATATCTACTGGTAGTACTGCCATGGCACTAGCTAAAAACACATCAGTTATGCTGCCCTGCTTCAGTCAGTCTTCAAAATGATGTTTTTTTCATTACCATGTTAATGTCATGTTTTAGGGATTTGGGGTATTGGAGTTGCAACTCAGAAAGCAAACTTGAATCAAATTCCACTTGGTCGCGATGTCCATAGCCTGGTGATGAGGAATGATGGAGCTCTCTACTACAACAATGAGGAGAAAAATAGACTACCAGCAAACAACCTTCCTCAGGAGGGCGATGTCGTGGTGAGTTTCTTTAGGCTTCTTTATCCTCCCCATCTGTTCCCAGATTCCTCTTATTTACAGCTCTGTGGTCAGACCAAGCCTTTCAGTCAGATTGTTTGGCTTGTATCTCCCCGTTTGGAAAGTGCTGATACAAACACCCGTTGCATTTGAATGGATCAGCAGCCTGGATACCAGTGGATTTCATTCTCAGCGTTGGTCTGTTTCTGAATGAGGGACAGGCTTTACCAGTGTTTGAAAAGCAGCCTCTAATACTCTGCTGCAATATCTACCCGCGGGGTAACTCCCTTCACAAGGATCCTGCCTTGTTTGAGGTGGAACCTCCCTGAACAAATAATGTGCTGGAACGCATTACGCAGCTATGCACCATGCCCAGCTGAACTCAAGATCCCGTAGCTAACTGGGTAATGATTGGAAGAACAGAGAGAGCTCCTGGGTGACAGATGAACTGCATTTTTAGCCAAACACTTGAAGGGAAGGAGAGATAATAAGTGGAGGGCGGAGGTAATGCTCAATGGGAAAATGATTGAGAATGACAGAAAATGGAGAATCTTTTGTACCTTACTATTCCAGGTTTCTTAAAACACCTTCAAGTGACTTTGAACAAAGGGTTGTGTTTTATTGCTGTCATTTTCTCAGTGTCCTGTTACTTATTTTCAAAAATAAACGGCAGCAATGCAATGAAATTCAGACCGTTTATCACCACTATGTTTTCTTGCTGGGTAGCCTGACCTGTATATGGCAGTGGTTAGAAATTTCAGCTTTAGAAGCTCCAAACAGCTACAGTTGACTCCTCCAGCCTTTACACTCAGATACTATATTATGCTTTTACTCCCCTTCTGAAATCGGGGTGGTTTTGAGTTTGGGTTTTTTTATGAGTTGTGGACTGTTTGAGGGTATGGTCAACCTAATCTGACCAGCTCAACTCTGAATCAACCTCAAGTCTGAACAGCTTCAACTGATCACAGAAAAAAGTGGCTGATGTGTTACTGTTAATTCCCTAGTTTTCATAAATTTAAATTAATCTTGTTCTGTTACTAAAAGAGATTTATGAGATAGTGTATGGCAGCATAAAATTGTCACACTCAGCCATGCCAAAACAGTCAGAAATACCATTTAGCTAACAAAGAAGTAATTTATTACCTTGCTGGTATTTGCTCTCTGCTCTGAACTCAGTGTATTTACAGCATTGTGTATGAAACCGTGGTCTGTTCCTGCTGGCTGAGTAAATGAGCTGAGAGCGCTTTCCATACGGAAGCTTGGACAGATAAACAATTCACAGCATCACTGTTTATTAAAGTTATTTCCATGAGGAGGTATAAACAAGAAGACTGCAAACTGCTTAATATTCAGAATCATTGAAAATGTTGTGTTTCTGTAACGTGGCAAAGAAGAGTCTGGGAGTTTGTTTTGTAAACTGTCTTTGGCAAGATGCCATGAGCGGTACTCTGCTGCGTCCAGATTGAGTGTGCGTTAAGGAATCCTGAGGATTTGAAAACACAAATGTTACTGGTCACTTACTAACCTCCAGTCCTTTGCAGGCATATTTCAAGTGAGGTTTTCTAGGATGCTGTGGTTTGCATAGTGGTGTTAAAATTTTGCTAAGAATGCTAAATTAAGTAGCACTCTTCCGTGCATAAATTTGTTAATGCTTTTTTAAATTTTTCTATACTTTGTAGGGCATTACATATGACCATGTAGAATTAAATGTATATTTAAATGGGAAGAATATGCATTGTCCAGCTTCAGGAATCCGAGGGACTGTCTATCCAGTGGTCTATGGTAAGTCAGAGATTTTCAAACCGTTTCACAGTACAGACGTTTTTTTGTACCAACTCTTTCTTGTGAGCTATGTATTCTTCTCACTTAAATGGAACACACATCAGTCATTTATTTGTGGCAACTGCAACAATAAATTGCATGCAAATACAAACCTAGGAGTATATTTTCACCTCATTTTTAATGCTGCTTAATAGCTAAGGGAAAAAAAAAAAGCACCGCTTATTGACTACTTACAGTGTCTGCATCCAACAGGCTGGGGAGTTACTGCACTCAGTCTAAAAATTGCCAGGTAAAAACAAACCTGTGAAGCAGATGGGGAAAAAAAAGAACTACAAATTCAAAGTAATATAGACTTGTGGGCTGATGTGATTTATCTCTGACGCTCGGTATTTATGCCTCTTAATTTCACATACCTCATAGGTGCATTTGGTGTTACATATGCATATGTACTGAGTTTGCATTTTCCTATGGGAGTAGTAACTTCAGTGTAGTGCTGGTCCAACTGCTTGCTGTATGGTGGTACAGCTCTCCGCTGCTGTACCACGCTGGGTATTGAAATCCAGCAGTTGGTGAGTGAATTGTGGTAGCTGTTTTGCCAGCAACCATCAGTACAACACAGCAGTTTTGAACAAGAAACATTCCTCCATAGGCAGTTTGAGAAAGAATTTATGAATTATGGAAGCTGGGATTTGGCCAAGACATGTGTTAACAATTTACTCTTCCAGAACTTGACGGTGGTTTTGTAGTTTCCAAGTAGTCAGAGTTCTGTTTAACATCTCATCTGAAAGGCAGCGCTTCCCCTCGCTCGGTGCATAACCGGCGCTACGCTCCGGGTTGGCTCGTGGCTTACTGCACATGGCAACCGCTCATCGGATTCCCTGTGTTACGCCTATAGCCATCGCCAGTTTATCTTTGTTCCTGTGTGAGCTTCATCTATGTAGTAGCCTCTTCCAAAGTAATTTTGGCTTGAGATACCATTAGCTGTGTGACACAGATAATTTTTTTCATTTCACAGTCGGTTCCTTCAGAACTGTTGGCATGTTCCCATTTGTATCTTGATATGTTTGCAATATGGAACTTCATGAGCAGGAAGAAAAATACTCTAGATGTGCTGTAGAGCCTTTGGAGTCTCTACGTGTAGCTGACGAATTATGTCTTCCCAGGCTGTTAAGAGTGGAAATCGGTTTCTGTGGACTTTTTGTCATGTGTTCTGAAGCCACATGATGGCGCTGCTAAAATGCTGTGGCCGACAGCCGCTGCTCTGCAGCACTCCCGCATCGCCGCCTTCGAAACTCGAGGAGCGGGGAGGCACTTGCTGTGTGATGACTGACTGTTCCATCTTCCCGTTGTTTTGGAAACGCTGTTCTGTGGCGTGGAGAATGCAGGTTGCTTTCAGAAAATATTTGATGACGTGGTAGCCTGCTGTAAATACCTTTTTCTCTGACTGAAGGAGTTCTGTGCCTGGTGAATGCAGTGACCTTTTATTGCCAGGCTCTTATTATAATCTTCCACAAGTGGGCATAATTTCATCATAATTATAATTTCTCCTACGTGTAGCTGTAACAATTGTAGCCTGCAAATTGCTTTTGCGTGGTACTTACTTGGTATAGAATTGTAACTATAATATCCTTAATGTAATGTGAACTTCATAGAATCACAGAACGGTT